CGGTTAGGTAAGTATGGCTCTGGAATACGAAAGCAGTTACTTGTTGACAAGACGCGAAGAACATGCCTACAAAGGATGCCCGAAAACTCAAACTGATTGCAGCTACAACTAATAAGCTCTTCACGTGGAACCCAAATGACTTTGCAACCTCCATCCATCTGGGTGTGGTGTCTCACATGGAAACAACCTTCTGTTTGAAGTGATGCATATTGTGGAGCCAACAAAAGCTCTTCTTGGAGTTTACAGAAGGCATAAGGTGTAAGAACAGTAGCAGCATGTGATTCAATTAGTGATCCAGTTTTGAGACAGACTTTGTGGAACTTTTGTTGCATCTTTTGTTTTGCTCCTGCTTGATCTCGATAATCAACAACAGTCGCCACCTACAGAAATGAGTTTGAAACACAATAAGCTTATAAAACCAAAAGATAATCAAAGTAAGAGATAATAAAGGTGTAATACCTGCTCTACAAAATGATCAAGTTGAGATTGTGCACTCAAAAACCGTTGGATAAATGCATTTATTGATTCTGATTGGAATGTATTTCTCATCCCTGTAAAGAAGTAACGTCTCAAGAATGGCAATGCCCAAGATGTCCTCAATGCATATAAGCTAGCAATGTGCTTATTTCCATGGAGTCCATATGTATTAACCATCTCCTTCCACCCTACTTCAAAATCTTCCACCATGACCAAATTATACAGCCGATGAAACTCAGCTTTCCAATTATCATACTGTGATCCAAGCAGTACAGAAAACCAATCTGAGAACTTTGCAATAATATGCCATATGCAAAAGGCATGTTTTGAACTTGACATTTCATTAGTAATTGCTTCTTTCAGCCACATGTTTTGGTCAGTCAAGATTGTTTGTGGAGCTTTTCCTTTCACAAAGCCTAGAAACGTCTGTGAAGATGCATAGAAAAGGAAAACATATTAACCAAGAGACAAAACATAGAGATGTAACCCAACAAATTTGGATAAGAATAGGATGGGAGTGATCCATCCTCAATGAAAATGACCCTGAAAAATTGCATGATACTTACCAACTCATTGAACCCTACTGTTCTTTGGGTCCACCACCTCTTTAATGGAGCATGGCCCAAAAGGTAAGCAACTAGACACTTTTAACCAGCTGATTCATGAGCTTTTCTCCCCTTGATGTCAATCTTATTTTATCAAGGATCCAAGTCTTAGATTCAAGCAGGAATGATAAGATTACCTGATTTGATCAACTTTTGGGCTATGCTTCCAATGAAGAGGAGTGGTACTTTCATGGTCTAGAATGTGATAGGCCCCCAATTAACTTTACATATGCCAGGAAGGGGAAAGGTCAGCTTTCGGCTAAGGGGGGAAATAATTGAACATGGGGGCAATTATAGCTAGAGGGAATAAGGAGAGTCTTGAGGCATTTATAGCTATGTCAGTTAGGAATAAGAAGAGTATGGGCATTTATAACTTGGCCAGCTGGGCATTTATTGAGGGAGTCAGTGATGCTGTGAGAAGAGTATAAGAAGGGGCTTTGGGGGATGGGGGAGATGGGCTTTTGTTGAGTGAAGAATACTGTGAGTGATTGGGAGAGCCGGCGGTCTCTCGAAGAACCGACCAACTGTTAATGTTCTTCTTTTCTTCTGAATGAATTCCAGTCTCTTTTGTTGATGTTCAAGTTGTGTGAATTCTGCTGTGAGCCTGAGAACTGTGTGTGAAGTTTCTGGGACATAACAGAATGATGACTTGGACAGTAATTATGGGAATAGGATGATGGTGTTATCAGGATCTTCTGTGCCTAAAAGCTTCTTACCTTCAATACCCAGGAAAAAGACTGCACATTTTCATCCCGTAAAAGCACACAACCAAAAAAACAGTTTACACCATGGTTGTCAATTCCAATCCAAATTCCTAGAAGCATATCATATGCATCCAATCGATGGGTTGTGTCAAAAATGACTGCATCTCCAAATGTCTCATATAAATGAATGGAGGAAGCATTGGACCATGCAATATGCTCCAACCTGTTATGTGCATCTATCTTGAAGTCATATCTGAAGTCAGGATCTTCATCCTTGATTTTCTTGCACATTGCAATAAGGTCAATAGCATCATTATCACGATCCACATTCCTGAATGATTGTAATAGGTTTCTTATGTCTATCTCTGTAAATGGTAAACAACCTAGCTTAACTCCTTTCTCCAGTTCCATCAATCGTAACATTTGTCTCACTGACATGCCAGCCTTTGCAAACATGCAGATACGATTCTTGTCATCTGCAGATATCGTGCAATAGGCAGGAAGGAGATTCACTTCATTTGATTTCAGGAGTTCATGGTTGTGGACATTACTAAAGCCTGTAATACGCCATTCAGGGACATCAAAATCTGCCTTTTTAACAATACGCATATATGCTTGACACCCACAACGTGAAGATTTTCGATTCCTTTGCAGTTTTCCATCATCTGTTGGTTTTATCTGTGGATATCCACCTCGATGACAGGTGAAATTCCTTCTTGTAATTCCCCTACCAACTCCATCTTTCCCTCGAGTACGATGACGTCTGATTGAAAATCCACACTGCTTTGCAAAACTGCAATAAAATTCATAAGCAGCATCTTGAGAAACAAATCTTTGTCCAATAAAAGGGACAAGATTCACAGAAGTTTGTCGTCATAAAATTGTGTCTTCAGGCATTTCTTCAGTTGTGCCTATGTCACCAGGAGACAAATCGGTACCATTTTCTGAAGTTTATAATTAGGTTTGTTCCTTCAGACATTATTTTCATAATAAATTGAGGAGACAGCAGATGAAGTACCTGTACAGAATATCAAATTAAAAACAGAGTTTCCATAAGTGATATTTACACAAAATACAAGAAACACAAAAAATTTTCATATACATACATAAAGATTCCTAAGTGATATTAGCAAAATAGAGATTGAAGATACTTGTCAACAAGTGGTAAACTCACACTTATTAGAAGTATGCTTTCATCCTTGCCCACATATTTACTATTTTTTTCCCTTCTATGTTCTTTTCCTCAATAGAACTTGGAAAATCAAATCCAAAATGGAAATATTGAACTTTTTGTTAAGAATAAAACCCAATCCAAGCTAATACTTAACATCATATACCTATAAATGATGATCAAGCCAGGATAGATCCAAAAGTTCATGGGATTGACAGACAAAAGTTTGTTGGGCTGGGATTCAGGGGTAGTCTCTTCATATTATGGGTGTCCATTGTGGAAAGGGATTGAAAAGGTATAACCTGAATTTATCAGAAGTGTAAAATACAGCATTAACGATGGTTATAGGGTTAAATTCTGGAAAGATGTTTGGTGTGAAGAGAGACAGATTTTCCCTCGGCTGTTTAACATATCACAGGATAGGAATGGGCTAATGGCAGATAATTATCAGATTTTTATTTTTTGTAATGGTAGAGAAGAGTGGCTGCCACTGTTTAGAAGACATCTAAATGATTTGAAGTTGGATAATGGAAACAATGATTGAGCTGTTGCAGAAACTAATCTAAGTGGTGATTTACCTATCACAGGCAGATAGGTGTGGATTACTCTGGATTTGGGAGAAGTTTAGTGTATTTTCAGCAAGGTTTCTTTACAAACATTTTACCCTCTCCAATTTAGTTCCCTTCCCAGAATAAAAAAATTGGATCTCAGCTATACCTTCTACGGCGTCTTTTCTTGTGTGGATGGCTAAATAACAGATGCTTGACAACCTTGACTAAGGATAACCTACAAGGGAGGGGAGCGGGGCTGATTGGTGATACATGTATATTGTGTATTGAATGCACAGAAACGGTTAACCATCTATTTCTACATTGTAGAGTATCAGAGAAACATTGGACGTGGATGAGAAGCATTTTTGGGTGGAAAGATGTGTCCCAGAAACAATGGAAGTTCTTTTTCAATAGCAAGCAGATGCAGGGATTGAGTAAAGGGATATGTTTTGGAAATTAGTTCCTCCTGTGTTTTGAATTGTATCACCTCAAAGAAACTCTGGGATTTTTGGACAAAAGAAAGTTGGGGGACATGCTGATAAGTAAACTCAATACAAAGCTGCTTCCATGGGTTGGTAGCACAGTCTATTCAGGGGGAAAGCATATGACTCTTATTTTGAAAGAAGAGTCGTTTTTTTGCAAAAAGAAGGGATGCGATGCTTTTATATCCCCAGTGTACAGTTCCTTGGTGTACATGGAACTCATGTAATTACTTCTTTTTTTTTTTGTTTAACACAAAGTTATACTTAACCTTCTTATTCAAATTCAAAAAAAAAAAAGGAAAAAAAAAATCTAGACAAGCTTCCATTTGGATACTTGGTAAACCTGGTATTCTTTCCATCTAATCATTGTTAAGGAGGTCACAGTCATTTTATAATTAGATAGGTAGAATATAACATGCAATTCAAATTTGGGAATACTAAAGAAGATATTCAATGCACAGCAGTTAGTAGAAACAGAGCATCATTGGCAATCATCAAACTGCCATTAACTGTGCTGATCCATAAGAGTTCTGAGGCCATGCATGGCTGTAGACCTAAACAAGTGGTTTACCAATCAGAAATCACATTTCTATCTTATATACAAAATAGCACATGAAAAGATGCTTGATTATGTTACCACTACCAAGAGGCTACCTCTTTTTCTCTACACAAGATTAGCAAATGTAATGGTAAGCAATTTTTTTTTTTGAAGAATCAGAATAAATTTTCATTGAAAGAAAAAAGATTCATACAATCCGGGGGGTGTTAAGATAACACCTAGCCGCAACCTTACACAAATACAGATTACACTACAATAGTTAAATCAAGAGATAGAGAACTGGTCAGGATTACAAGTCTGTAACTCAAGAAAATTCCAAAAATTCTCCCCCAACTCTGCTCTGCTAGTCTGAAGAAAATCTGGATGCACCAGAATCCAATTGGACACCAAGTTCACAACCATGGCTAATAGTCTTCCAATGTTCTTCTGTTTGTTCTCAAATAATCTTCTATTTCTCTCATTCCATAAAATCCAGCATACTGCAAAGGGGATGCAGCTCCGCACGATCTTTGCTTTCTTGCTTCCATTAAGTCTTGGCGAAGAGGAGAATAACTCTGCTGTAGTCAAAGGCTGAAATAAGTTCATTCCAAATAGAAAGGAGAAAAAACTCCTTTCTATTTCTCTTTTCCATAGAACCTACCACCGGAAAGAGAAAGATAAAAATGAAAAAACAAGCATCATGGAGAAGCTCACCATCTAGCAAGGGCAGTTTTCACTCCCATAAATATATGCAATTTAACCCTAGTAATGACATTTATCTTACTATGACTATTTAAACTGGCTATGCCTAGAACAATGAACCAATAAATTGGTAAAAATGTTCATAGAAGAAATCTTCCACAGGAAAGCTGGAGTAAATTGCCAAATTCCTCGTCTTTTTCTTCTTTCCTTCTTTTTATTTTCTCACTTGTTTTCTTGCATCTATATTTTTTGCCTCTCCCTATAAGCTTATCACTCAGCAGTTACCTAACGTTCTAACTAATGCCTTGCTGTCCATAAACAAAGAAAACAAATACCACCAAGGGCAGACAATACAATAAATTCCAGTTCAGTGTAGCCCAACCTCCATTTGGTTTAGATTAGTTACATCAATAGAACATAATCCATCATGCTATTCATGAGAGAGATGACAATTGCTCTTACGTAAAATCAAGAATTAAATATTCATGCATAAAAAAGTTTAAAATAAAACAAAAATAAGAAGGATTTTGAAAAGATGAGAAGAACTAAAACAATTGCTCTTCCATCTCCCATGAACCCTCCCCCCTCCCCAAAGACCTATCCTTACAACTGATGTGGAGGCAAAACTGCATCTTGATGAAAGCTCTTTGGCAAACCCCAGGAAAGCTGGAGTTGGTAAGACTGTAAGAGTCATTCTTACCCAAGATATCTCAATTTGGGCCTCCTTTGTCTGTATAAAAGGCTGATTCAACTAAACATGAGGTCCTAGCCTTAGAGGTACCTGCATTGACAAAATTGAGGAGGACTTAGCAAACACAATTGACTGGTCCAGAGGGATCTCCAGGTGTCTGTCAACTGGCACTTTATTTTAAAAGGATTGGTAGGTGTCCTAGGCTTAGAGGTACCTGCATTGACAAAAGATGGAGGTTTCCCTCTCTAATCACTAAGAGGGACTCAGAAAACACATTATTTTAATGAGATTAATGAGAACTTTATTTCCATTTTTGTCTAAATTAGATGGAACATAGGAGAAATGAACTCAATTGCTGATGGCCTTGTTGAAGGGGAGTTGTTTTTTATTTTTTATTTTTATTTTTATTTTCATTTTTATTTATTTTTGGCAGCAACAGTTCTAAGCCTTCTTGAATTTTTGTTGGGTATAGAACGGAAGCTCTTTTAGAAGGTTAAGCCACTCTTGAAGGGGCTTCCGAGGTGAGCGGTAACTCATCAGATTGGTATCAGAGCCAGGCTATCCAAATCCCAGGCTTCACAATGCCACAAACACGTTCCACTACTGTGAATGAAAGGGTCGACCGGCTTGAGGTTGGGTTTCACCAAGTGTTGAACGAACTCAAGGAACTCAAAGTGGTCATCTCTAGCTTCGTCTCTCAGCAACAGTCCGGTGAGACCAGTCACCTAGCAGGAGTGGAAGCCTCTTCTTCCAGTAGCCAAAGAACAGGGGATTACCGCACCGGAAAAGCCACTAAGATCAACTTTCCCAACTATTCCGGTGGAGATCCCATTCCTTGGGTCTTCTGAGAAGAAAGATATTTCGAATACCACGAAACTCCCGCACACCAGCGTGTCTCCATCGCCTCCATTCATCTAGAAGGAGATGCGATTCTATGGCTCCAGTGGTATCGCCGGAATCATCCCCAGGTAACTTGGGCGGAGTTCACCGAAGCTTTGTGCATCCGCTTTGGGCCAACGACGTTCGTGGACTACGACGAGCTGATCACCTGGTTGAAGTAGACTGGAACGGTAGCAAAGTACCAACTCGAGTTTGAGCGGATGACGACCAGGGTACACGGCTGGCCGGAGAAAGCCTTAGTAGGATGTTTTGTAGGAGGTCTCAGAGAGGATATCCGCCTGGAGGTGAGGGCTCTCCGTCCGGTGACTGTCATGGCTGCAGAGGGATTGGCTCGCCTACAAGAAGAAAGAATCGACAACCTTCGTAGAGCCAGCAAACCGACCTACCCGAATTTGAGGACTCCACGGGTCGATCAGTAGCCCATGAAACCGGCTGGTGATCATCAAAAGCCCATATTGCCCCGACCCGCTATGCCTTTCAAATGTCTCTCATGGGCTGAGATGCAACCCCAATGTGAGAAAGGCCTTTATTATAATTGTGATGATAAGTTTGGACTGGGCCATAAATGCCGGGTCCAACGGGTGTTTCTCCTATAGACAGAGGAAGAGCTGGAAGAGACAGACCCAGAGCACTTAATTGACTGTGAACTGATTCCAGACGGGCCAGAACCTAATGGGGTCAAGATCTCCTTACACGCCCTCATGGGCCTCAACTCTTTTCAGTCCATGCGTGTAGAAGGAAGATTGATGGGCTGGACCGTGATGATTTTGATTGACAGTGGCTCTCCCCTGAATTTCATCACTTGCCATTTGGCTAAGCAGCTAGGTATGACCATACAACCCACTCCTCTCTTTTCAATCCATGTAGCTAATGGGAGTCAGATGTCGTGTAATGGTGTATGTAAGAAGGAGAAAATCCTCATACAGGGCCATAATTTTGTGGTGGATCTCCACCCATTGGATTTCTCAGGGGCTGATATTATTTTGGGGGTTCATTGGTTGCGTGGCCTGGGCCTTGCTCTATGTGATTGGGCCAAAATGTCAATGGATTTTCACCAGGATGGCCAGTCTTGTCATTTACAAGGGGTGCGGCCCCCTGGTCCACAAAGTGACACTTTAGCCTCCATGATACGGGCCTCCAAGGATGTTGGCCAACCCATATTTATGCACTTAGGCATTCGGCCCACAGTTCCAATTCTGGACAACCAGGGCTGTGTTCACTCCACAGAAGCCCAACACAGGGCCCTACGGTCGATAGTCGATCAGTTTGGCGATGTATTCGAGGAGCCGAACCAATTACCTCCACCCCAGGCTCGTGATCATCAGATAACTCTCTTACCCGGTTCTAACTCGGCCAATGTGAGGCCATATAGATACCCTTACTTTCAGAAGTTGGAAATTGAGAAGGCAGTGAGAGAACTATTGGAAAAAGGGCATATATTGACCAACACCAGCCCTTTTTCATCTCCTATACTCTTAGTAAAGAAGAAGGACGGTAGTTGGCGCTTTTGCGTAGATTACTGGGCCTTAAATCAGATTACTTTGAAGGACAAGTTTCCTATACCCCTCATTGACGAACTACTGGATGAGTTAGGAGAGGCACGAGTGTTCTCCAAATTAGACCTGTGGTCCGGGTATCATCAGATTCGAGTCCACCAGGCTGAGATCCACAAGACGGCCTTTAGGACCCACGATGGCCATTATGAGTTCTTGGTTATGCCTTTTGGACTCACAAACGCCCCCTCCACCTTTTAGGCCCTTATGAATGACATCTTCAGGCCATTTCTAAGGCGATTTATTCTAGTGTTTTTCGATGATATTCTGGTGTACGACAGGGACTGGGACACACATATGGAACATTTGAAACTCACCCTCACAACTCTAAAGGGGCACTAGTTACATGCCAAAATCAAAAGTGTTCCTTTGGACAAGGACAAATTCAGTACTTAGGCCATGTGGTTGCAGCAGGTCGGGTCATGGTAGACCCAGGAAAGGTAAACACCATTCAGAAGTGGCTCAAGCCCACTACTGTAAAGGCTCTGCGGGGCTTTCTTGGGCTTACCAGATATTATAGGCGCTTCATTAAGGGGTATGGGCTTATGGCCGCCCCTCTAATGCGTCTATTAAAGAAGGATTCCTTCGGTTGGACTGATAAAGCCCAACGGGCTTTTGAAGACTTGAAGACAACAGTTTCCAGCCCTCTAGTCCTCACTCTTCCAGACTTCTCTCAGCCCTTTGAAATAGAATGTGATGCGTCGGGTGTAGGAGTAGGGTCTGTCTTGATGCAGAAAGGGCGGTCCATTGCTTATTTCAGCAAGGCTCTCTCAGCAGCTCACCAAAGTCAGTCCACTTATGTCAAAGAAATGATGGTTGTGGTAATGGYAGTGCAAAAGTGGCGTGCATACCTATTGGGACGCCAATTTGTTATTAGGACAGACCAACGAAGTTTGAAGTACATAGCAGAGCAAAGGGTGCACACCCCGGAGTAGCAAAAATGGCTTAGTAAACTGATGGGCTTTGACTACCTCATAGAATATAAGCCGGGGCCCGCAAATAGAGTAGCTGATGCCTTGTCATGAGTAGAAGAGTTAGCCCATCTGACCTGCTCTTAGCCCAGCTTTCCTTTGTTTGAAGCTATACGACAAGAAGCCAGGTCTGATTTGCAGTTGCAGGTCAATAGAGATAAGTGGAGGCGAGACCCTTCACAAGTTGCTGGTTACCAAGTTGTGGGGCTTGATCTTTTCTTTAGGGGTCGGTTTGTTGTTGCCCAGAATTCGGCCCACAAAGCTGAACTGCTAAGGTTGTTTCATGACTCCACCTTGGGAGGGCACTCAGGGGTGCTACGGACCATAAAGAGGCTCAGCAGCCACTATCATTGGGTAGGAATGCGTAAGGATGTATTACAATATGTCTCCGGATGCCAAACCTGCCAACAGCAGAAATACTCGTCATAGTTTCCTGCTGGCCTTCTACAACCTCTCAAGATTCCAGATCAAGTGTGGGAAGACCTTTCCATGGACTTCATCACGGGTCTTCCTTGTTCTGCAGGAAAGGAGGTTATCATGGTAGTGGTTGACCATCTCACCAAGTACAGCCATTTCTCTGCATTACCTCACCCTTACAACGCAGCAATGGTGGCTGACATCTTCATCCAGGACGTTGCCAAGCTGCATGGAACCCTGAGATCCATTGTCTCAGATCGAGACCCTGCTTTCCTGAGTTCATTCTGTAAGGAATATTTTCAGTTGCAAGGAACCCAACTACACCCCTCCACGAGTTATCACCCACAGACTGATGGGCGGACTGAAGTTCTTAATCGTTGCTCGGAAGCCTACCTTAGATGTTTCTTAGGGGAAAAGCCCCAACAATGGGATCACTGGCTTCCATGGGCAGAATACTGGTACAATTCGACTTATCAGTTGACTGTTGGAATGACACCCTTCAAGGCTCTTTATGGCGAAGAACCTCCTCCCATATTACCTTATGAATATGGGCCATCCAAGGTGGTAGAAGTAGAGACCCGTCTACTTGCGAGAGACAAGATTCTTAGATTGCTTAAGTCCAACTTGACAAAAGCCCAACAGCGAATGAAGGCCCGCTATGACACTCACCACYGCCCATTAGAATTTCAGGTGGGTGACTTCGTTTACCTTAAGCTCCAACCTTACCGCCAGATCTTAGTGGTAAGATGGGCTTGGCACAAGCTAGCACCTAGGTATTATGGGCCTTATAAGGTTTTGGAGAGAGTGGGCCTTGTTGCTTATCGGTTCGACCTCCCTACAACCTCAAAGCTTCATCCAGTGTTTCACATCTCACTTCTTAAGAAGGCGGTGGGAAATCATACACCTGTCTTACCCAACTTACCCCAATTCACTGAAGAAGGGGACATTGACACGGAGCCTATCAGAATTGTGGATTTCCATTGGGTTCGACGAGGTGGTCAGGTTGTGCCAGAAGCCAAGGTAGAATGGGCTGGGCTTCCTCCAGATGATGCCACTTGGGAACCTTAGCTGAATGAGAGGTTTCCAAACCTAGACCTTGAGGGCAAGGTCAATGCTAAGGGGGGAGGAATTGTTGGGACCCAAACATTCCCTCCGAACCCAACTATAGGTGTGGAGCAGGCCACCACCGAGCAGCATTTCACTAGAAGACAGAGAGGCTAGCGTGACACGCAACAGAGCCTCCCAGAGTTAGTTATACTGCCGCCAGAAGATATTCTCTTCATGATTGCATACATGTAGGCCCTGATCATGTAAAAAGTGGCGTGAATGAATATCCCTTTCATCTCTCTCTCTCTGTGTCATCTTCTTCCTACCTTTTCCCCTTTCCCTCCCATCTTCTGTTTCAGGAGGTTAAGCCACCCTCGAAGGGGCTTCCGAGGTGAGCGGTAACTCATCACAAGTGTCTCACTGATCAAGGATCTTATCACTTGATCATACACTAGGCCAAATGGCCTACCTTTGACCCAGTAAAAGCTGGAAATGAATCTAATGAGTGTTTCAACAATGGTCTCTCTATGCAAAAAATAATTAAATAAATAAAAAAACCAAATAGACAAATAAATTTTCTTTTATATAATAATAATATGTTTGTATGTGAGGGTGTAGCATAGAGATGACCTATCTTCCATCAACATGTGGTTTATCACATGGCCACTGGATTTTCCAACATGTTGAGGATCAGAAAATGAGGGCCTATGGCCACTCTTCCAACAGATCATAGGTTCCTAGTTGGAGCAATCTAAAGAGATTTTGATGTCATTTTAGGAGCTTGTTTAAGGGGGAATAGTTTTAGTAGATAAAAGCATACATCGTTTTGATGAAATTATATTCCCTCGAAGCAAATTGTTGCTTTCTACAAAAGATTTTTGTGAAGTAGACGACCCTTGCAGTATTATTGTATAATACTCAGTTAGGTATAAGACGACCAAAATACTTGTAAATTCCACTTTGAGTTAGTCCCAACTGAAAACAGTAAAACATACACAAAAATTACGTGTATGTAATTGAACCATATGTATACACACACACACACACACACCTGCCCAGTGTTTCTCTATCATCTACACAATTAATTCAATCGTGTAAACAGGTTCAACATATAACTGTATCAACAAATTCATATGTGGGGGAATTTTTTTATCAGAAAGATGCTCTGTAACATGTAATTAGCTTACTTGAGAGCATATTTGCGACGAAGCGAATATCAATCAGAAGGAAACTCACTTGAGAGCTGATTTCCTTTCCTGTTTGCATTTTCGATATCCAAATCAGTTGAAGTCCTATCATCTCCCAATATTTCATATGGATCTCTCTGACGAGCAAGCCGAGACGAGCTTCCCATCTTCATAGAATGAAATTTTAAAGGCGATCCAAGCTCTATTCAATCATATGTCAAATTTCCGACGTTCCAACAGATTAAACAGAGTAAAACTTAAAGTCTAATCCCAACCAATAACGAAATCTGCACCAATGAGCATAAAAGTCCATAATTATGAAGGTAACAATCTGAACTCCCTTTGAAATTGATGAAAGAACGTCAAAGAAACATGAAGATCAAAATAAAACAATTTCTGCATACCAATTCGGGCAACACAGCAACTGCTATGAGATTCCAGGAGCCGAAAGCCCTAACTACCAATAACGAACAGAAAATTAAAGATGAAAAGAAAAAAAAAATACAAATGAGCAAAGAAGAAACAGGCGGGGAGAATCGGGAGGGAGGAGTAAAGCGCATCTACGGAGAACGATAACCATTTATAAGGAGGGTGAGCTATCGTGCGCCATATGGATACACGGTATTATTCGAGAGCAGATTTGAGTATTAGGCTCCGTTTGGGAAGAGGGCAAATGCAAGTTTGCAAAGGGTAAATGCAAATAATCATGGTTGAGGTAAATGCAAAAGTTAGGCCGGTTTTATGGTCATTTGCACTCATGGTTGTTTGGTTGGAAGAAAGCAATATGAGAATGCATATTTCCTAGTGGGAGTTTTTTACATTGCAAATTCAGAGAATGGGTCCTGCCACCATGCCATGGCTTTTTTTTTAACCATTGAAGTCCCAACATATGTATATTTGGATTCCCATAAACGAATCTTCTTAACTAGGATATGTGGTCAACCGTTTAAACTAGACTTCACCATATTTTTTGGTTTTCCAATTTAAGATGTGTTTGGAAGCGTGGGCGTTTTTTGGGACTAATTTTCAAAAAAAAAAAATGCCCATGCTTGTTAGACCTATTTTTCACAAAAAAATGCCTAGATTTTGTTTGGGAGTGTTTTTGCCACGTATGCAGTGAGCAACACTGCTGTTTGGTAAGGTAATTTTCATCACCGTTTTTCATGTATGTGCACACATTACTCCATAAGATGATGCGCGCTAATATCATACCAAATTAATAACGATGCTTATCAAATGGTCTATTAATTGGATGATTGTTTTATATTATCTGGCCTAAAATTTTAAATAAATCTAATGGTTGAAAATGTTGTTGGAATAGATCAACAACATCAACATGAATAATGGCATCATATCCAACGGCTGTGAGTGATCCAATCACCTATTAGTACAAACAATAGTTAAATGCTTCAAAAAGAAAATTCAGATAATCAATAAGTATCAGTTAAAATGTCTAATAGTATCTTCATTTGTCCATCAACTTTGATAATAACATATTCATCCTATTTAATGAGCTTCAAGACTAATAAGATAACTATCAGCCAAACCCAAATTAGAAGACAAACCAAGTTACAACCACAACAAGCGATGAGTGCAAAATATCCTTTGTTTTGTTGTGGTTGTCTAGTAGATGAAAATTATTGGATAACTTCAACCCTAGGTTCTCTATGACGGATTCCACCAAATTCATCTACCCATACAGATGAACTCCTATGGTTACTCCTTACTGGGCAACATAAAAACCATCGCCCATAATTAGTTTCTGTCCTTGCGATTTGTAGTGTCATCTCCCCTTTACCACAAGAGCAGTTTGGTAAGAACATCCCATCAGTCATTTCTGCATGAATAACTTGTATAGTAAACATCCAATGATGATCAACAAGTGAGCATAAAAATACATAAACTTAAAATATATGAAACATTAAAGAAGTTCAATCCATAACAAACATAAAACTCATCATAGTTTGAATTCCAACATTTTCTTGGTCTAGATCATAACATCATGTTTCGGCATAAGTCACAAATCTATGTAACCCATCGGGTAGACCTTTGGTACTTCTCCCATAGCTTAGAAACAATTCGGTCTCTAACCATGTCCATCTCTCTGCTTGAACCTAGTGCAGATGCGGTGTGCTCTTCGCCATCATCATCGCCACTTGAACCATCATCATCTGAGTCATTTTCATAACCCTCTACACACTCATCTATGTGTTTATCCCCATGCGCCTCTTGTTTTTGAAGTTGTATATTATAAAACATGACATTACAAGAAAACGTTGGAACTCTAATTGGTAGCATGACATGTTTTTCAAGATGGGGAATTTACCCTTTAAGATCCCAAAGAAACGTTTGATGACATTACGTAGTGAAGAATGAGTGTAGTTGAAAAGGTCTTCATTGGATCTAAATTTATTGGAATGTCTCTTAAACTCACTAAAGTGGTACCATTCACCAGAGTATGGGGCAAAGAAATCGGGAGCATTAGCATATCCATAATCAACAAGGTAGTACTTTCCTGCAATGAATTCTAGATGCGAGGACACACAAATGATGAAGATAACTGATAAAGGGAAATTATAAGGAATGTCTATTGCACTTGGTGGTGGTTTGGGAAACCCTACATGAGGCCTACTAAGTGCTTCTGCCAATATCCTTGAATCGTGTGCTGATCCTTCCCATCTCATGTATACAAAGGTAAACAACATATCAAAATCACAAACAACCAAAACATTTGTCATACAAGCCTTCCTTTCTCTATACAGTATTTGTTCAGCAATTGGGACATTAAATGATACATGTGTACCATCTATAACCCCCACACATTTCTAATCACAATTATGAACATAGTTAGAACAACAAATTTGGAGAGAGTTACTACAGACTATGAAGTGTAGTTACCTTGAACATTGGGTAATATCTCTTAGATTTCTTAATAAATGGTTGCACTTTAGTAAATGCAGGTGGCCTTAAGAGCTCCTTCCCTATTTTGCAAATTGCATACACAACTTTCCGTACATGTGTATTGATAGTCCATGAAGAATATATTAGACAGTGTATGCCCTTAACTCCAATCAACATGATATATATTATGACATTTATTGTAAATGAATAAAGTACATATTTGATTCATGTTATTATGGTGTGTTTTTTTGTGTAATACCCTTAAACTTGACACATATAAGACTTGTGTTAGTTTAGAATCTTCATAGCCGTTGGATAGATTTGGGGAGATTTATCCTGCTAAGGCTGACACTGATATACCGCCAAGTTGGTTGGGGTGACTTGTCTCAATTGCCAGGGTGAAACCTGAGGTAAATGCAGTGTGAGTTTTCTTGAAACCCTGAACCAGACCAAAATTCCAGTATTGCCTTGGACCGTGGAGAAAGATGGGCAAAACTGGAATGTTACACCTGACCCCTAGACTTGATTATGATACTACACTAGGTGTCGGATTGGGCTGTTTTTGATATGCCAATCAGTGAGATCCTTAAAGGGGGTCAAAACTTGGGTATGTTGGGATAGTCCGAGAATTCATCTGAGTGGGTGATCATAGTGACAAGATCTATCCCTTTGTTGGACAAAGTAAATAATCGGGGATGCACTATTTCTGGGGGAAACCTAAACTACCGGCAGTTGATTTCAACTGTTGAAATTTGTTTTTGCAAAATATATTTATATAGGGATTATATATATATATATATATATTATGGTTTCAAAATGTTTGCAAAAGGTTTTAATTTCTGGGATCCATGTGAGTAGAAAGTGTAGCACTGCACCTTGCAGCTGAAGGAGAAGTCTTATCTTATCGGGCAGTGTTTGATCATTATGGGCTGAGAGGTTAAGTGTAAGACCATTGAGGGTTATACCTGATGGGCTAATCTTGCATCTGCCCACAGTCCTTGGGCCTTCATAAGATGGCTGGACCCAATGACCATTTAGTGTAAATGTTGGGCCCATTAAGAGTCCATAGTGATGGACTCAGTGGTTCACTGTATTCAGCAGTGAATTCGGCCAGACCTTGTAACAAAGGCTAGGCTGAACCCATGTGGCTGATGTGTAGATCAATGATAGGGTGCCACACCATACAAAGAGAGCCAAGCTAGTCAGCATTAAAGTGGAAGTGAGCCTGAAAGCTTAATGAGCCTAAAAGCCCATTTCAAATTGGGTTAATTAGATTAATTAAATAGGGGCGGATATGGGATTTGGATCAGTAGATAAGGTAAGGGATTATCCTTATCCACTTAAAGAGTCCAGGTCCAAATAAAGATATGGATCAAAGGAACTCCTAATTTGATTAGGAAGGCTGATCTTTATCTGCAGATAAGATAATGGATTATCCTTATCACTTAAAGTGTCCAGATCTAAATAAAAGATTTGGATCAGGAAACTCCTAATGAGATTAGGAAGTTGTCTCTTTAAGGCTATAAATAAGAGAGCAGAGCGAACCTTGAACACACACTCATTGAATACAGAGAGAAGGCAACACAATTACACTGATCTTGCCTTCTGCTCTTTTTCTTCCTACTCTTGCCGCCCTACCCTATTCGATCTCCAGTTCTTGGATTGGATCAAGATTTGATCTCAATATTGTTTCTTGCTAGAAGAAACAATTTAGAAGCTATTTTCACTGTCTCATTCGATTCTTGCTGAAAAATCACTAGTTCTTGGTGAAGACTACCTACTGATCCGGCCTCATCCTAAGTTGTGTCATCTTCAATGGAGGGAGGATTTGGTACACTCTTTGGGCATAAACACCTATGTTGGGAGGAGCATTCTTGCGTAGATTCCGTATTAGGTATATCCCTCCTTTAATTTGGTTTCAGATTTGATCTGGTTTGGTTACAAGAACGAACCTTAAAAATGCAATTTTCTAAATTGGGAATAGGATTTCTGGATGGGAGTAAAGAAATTTTTGAAATTTCGCCCAACCTTCCTACAGGGTTTGACCATTAATATGATAGATCTTCCATCCCTCAGAATGCTAAAATCACTCACCCATTTGGCAGTTCCTCTCATTATGACCAATTATGAGGAGGAACAATGCAAGTGACTCATCGACGGTGATATTCCTAGTGTTCTTCAAAACTCCTTTCACCATAAGTAGGGAGGCCAAGTTTTTGAAGACATGTTGTTCCATCCTAAATGAATTGTAACATCTATCTGCGTGTTTTAAGTCATTGGGGACTTCTGTCCACACATAAGTATGTCCGGTTAAAGAAGAAGTCATGCAACACTGCTTTCTTTTTTGTGGACAATACAAGTGTAATATGCAGGAAGTCATAATGAAGTTTATCATTTTCTCATCATCGTCATCTAAATCAATGGATCGTCTTTTTCCTCGATACTGATGAGGATCCATAGAATATTGTTGTATGACAAACTCAACATTATAATGAAATCAAAATAAACATCAGACACCATGGTTATGACTAGCATATAATCATGTAAATACCAACTTGTTACAAAAAGTTTCATCAGTCCAAATGGGAATGTATATAACCATTAGAAGTTATCACCCATTACAAAAAAAAAAAAAAACATCATTCCAAGAAGTGTTCAAATTCAACCAAGCACAAAAAGAAATAAAAAGTTTTCCAGAA